TAATTGAATATATTACTTATTTTATTTGCATTTGAGGCATTGAGATGAAATAAAGCATAACGATCGTGAAAAAGTTCGAACGTGCTTAAAGAGCTTAGCTCAAAAATGAAAAGTACGAACAAACTGAAATTCCGTATTTAAGGAATGCGTATTCCTCAAATTTTACTGTAACTTTTTCGTCAAAATCGACTAAACGGAACATATTCTACAGATTTTCTATAAAACGATCTTGATTAATTCGTTAAAACAATCTACGATTAAATAGTTTTTAACATCAGGTTAAGTCTTATCCCCGTTGATGAAGTCTGACAAAGCTTAAATTCCGTTATTCAAATTTTCAAAATAGCTTTTTAGGAAATTACTTAATAAAACATGGTTTATTTGAAATGCTGAACAGTATCTCGTGGTTTTTAACCATAAGAAATGACTAAATATAAAATATCTAGAAGAAAAAGGGGAATTATAATAACATTTAAACATGTAAAATAGTTGCAGTAATTTTCTTTTTGTCCCAATTTTAAAAATGTTGCTGGTTTGTCACGATATATTTCTCTAAAAAAGTACAAATGTTCAACGAAGAATGAAATGCACTTTAATGGAACAAACAATTTTTGTAACGTGACACATTCACAACCCTTAAATGTGAAGGCTTTGGCATCGTGAACATCTGGCACAATCTACGATCCTTAAGAAGAGAATGACTAACAAAAAACTACATCCTGCAAATCTTGATGCGTTTTATAATTAGCTGAGGAAAAAACACATACGTAAATTTAAAAAAAAAATGTGTACATATAAATGTTTAGTAACTGGTATTTTATATACTACGTTTTAAAAACCAAGGCCTAACAGATTTTTTTTTTTCAGTAAACTTATAAGGAAATTTTATTAAGTTTAGTAGAAACTTTTCTAAAATCTACTAATGCATTCTTGTTGATTAAGAATTGAGAAAATAAGTTAAATTTTCGTTAAGAAATATATTAGTTTTCAGGATTTTTTTTTCAACTAGAAGTGACTTTCACGAAATATATGCCAATGTGAAAATAATGAAAAATAAGGCAATTGGTTGTAAAACCAACAGCTGAATCCACATCACGCACAAAATGTTTTTATTTTTTCGCAAACTTTTTTTATAAGCACCATCTAAAAAGAACGTATTAACCAATGGCGGATCTTAATTCAGTAAAAAAAAAATATGGTTCAACTCACGATAACATTAGTCAAATAGGTGTCATTATATCTTTCTTGCATTTCACATAAAATTATCGAAAAATGGATTAAGTCTTTTTGATGCTATTCGCCACAAATATTGAAGAAGTTCAGGACTCAGGATAATGAAAACACTTAACCGCCGAGCGATAAATTTCGAATGAAATTAGATTTTCAGCTTAAGTAAATAAAGATTAATTTCTGCTTTTAAAGTTTTTAGTTTATTATTTTTCTTCCTCCTCAAAAACGAGGTTTTAGTTTTAAAGATACGCAGATTTCGAAATTCGGTGATATTAAAGATTTCTCCCTTCACGGTACAATTCCGACCATTTTGCAAAAAAAAAAAAAGTGTGAATGGGACTATTAGTTTTCGTGGTTAGTGATTAAAACGAAGAACGGGCATTCCTTATAAATAATATGACGGAGAGGAGATGCAATAAATCGTAGTTTATATCAATTTTAAAAAGATTTTTATTTTTAAAATCGATGGTTCAGATGCATATTAAAATTTTTAGTTTTCTTCAGATCTGATATTTTTTCACCACGTTTATAATTAATCTCTAACTTTATATGGGATATATATATATATATATATATATATATATATATATATATATATATATATATATATATATATACATAAATATCGCAAATTGTATTTATTATTTGAAACCAGTTAGTAAAAGGTGAGACAGAAGTTGCGATTGAGTACACTTTCATAAGATATCATGTTCTTATCTTCAGTAGATGTAGCAATTATCTTCTATGTAATTATCAAATAAGATTAACCTCAAGTTTCCAGATAAATATATCGCAAACAAAGTATTAAACACCATGTAACTCCTGATGAAAAATATTTGATTGACAATGAGTAAAACATTCATTCAGAACAATGAAACATTCAAAGTTTAATTGATCAAATGCTAGTAACAAAAAAACTATTTTAAAAGTAATAAACTGACCATAAATAGAGGAAATACTGAAGAGAGGTTAAAGAACAAAACAGCATAGTTAAATTCCAGTCATACATCTGAAATTTCTTATGATCTGACAGTTAAAAGATGATAGACGTTCCATCATAGTTATACAACTATTTGAGAGGTTGAACCAAATACATTTCAAAAGTTGTTGACAGCGTATATTACAAATTATTTTTAAAAATAATAACGAAACCTTTGAATGGGTAAGACTACGTATCTATATATCAAATAGATGGAGTACAGTGATGACTGACATGGTATCTTCTTAGAAGGCTTATAAGGTGAGAGGCTCTACCATTGTTTATCCCATATTCAGAGCGCCAATTATATTATAGCCAGAGTAAAGATATAATATAATTATTACAAAATATATGTAATAATTGGTTTTTAATATAAATTTAGAATAAAATATATAAAAGGTTAAGAAATAAAACCTCGTAGGCTAGGCTGAGCCTCTTACGGAGCCTTAGCCCTGAAGCTGCCATCCTGGCTATTCCCCTCTAATCATCGAGCCTGCCTATTCATGGATTGTTCCATATTAGATTTATTGTGGAACGTCGAAAGTCAGGACTCAGATATTTTGATTTGATTTTACAAGCCAACATTCAAACACAAACATGTGAGCCATCTCCAGGACTAGTGTATGAGGCTAGAGATGCATAGGAAATGTTACCGATCTATTTTAGACTACAAAATAAATTTTGAAATGTAAAAAATCACATAATCCACAGATTCTGTTATGATTTACAACGCAAATTTATCAAATATGGATTAGTGACAAATGGAACATTGATCCCAGACAATATTAACCTATAACTCACTATAAGATGAGAACAACTACCTTAAACTAGTACTAAAACTGACTTTAGCATTAAAATAAATTTTAGACACTGCAAAGAATTTATATAACTAATATAACAATGAGAATGTTAGTTGAATATAAATCATACAACGAAATCTGAATGAATGATGAAAGTGTTATTACAAAATATTTTTATATGGAATGAATGCTTCTATTTAGCATATCTATCATGAATAATTTAACAGCAATAGGCACACAAGGCATGACTTAATATAGCAGACTGTGCTAACAAAGTAATCACGATAGATAAAAAAAAAAATTGATAAGTGGTACAACAGAACTAAAAGGAACACGGTCTACTCATACTGACATCAAACCTTCATAAAAATATTGGATTAAATAATGGTAATTGAACAATTTTGAAATTGATTATATAAACTGATTTAAATATATTCAGTACAAGCTAAGCTTTTTATGATTAAAAAAAAAAGTTTGATTATGTAAAAAACATTATCAAAACACAAAAAAGTCTTGAATACGGTCAAAGGTATATGAATACAACTATATTAAGAAGTTAAGCCCTTTAAAAGAAATTGAGGTAGCATAGTGACAAATGCATTGTGCACTTATTAACTATGTCCAGATTTGAGTCCAGCTGAGCCAAATAATTATTTATTTTATCAGCCATAGATCAACCCTAGTGTCGGGAGGTTCTCCTGCAGAACACTAGGCCTCTACAAAGTGGCCTTAATTGGGAAGAAAACATGGTAGTTGAGAAAGATACTGATCAAATCACCTTTCTTGTACAGGCATTAGCATAGAAATAGTACTTCCTTAGAATGCACAGCACCTAAGACCCTTTACGAAATGTACTTATATTTTTTTTTTTGAAATAAAAAATAAAAACTTTTCATCTTTTGTTGGAAAGTTGTTGAATTGACTCAAAGGTTGGAAATAAAAACTTCCTTAAATGCAAACAAATGTTATATTTGTCACATCTTAATTATTTTCTGTTAAAAAATAACAAAATAAATCAAACATGAAAATGTTGCATTTAATTTTACAATCTGATTATCATACCAACAGAAATCCTTAAGTTGATAAGTTAACCAAAATGAAAATACAATGACAAAAATAATACTCTAGAAGGAAACATGTTATATAAATATAACAGCACTGAAGGATTGGTTTGCTTTCATAATCAAAATAAATAAATAAAAAGAAAAAATGTCTATTTTAAATAATGTGGACATTCTGATATGCTTATAACTTTCAATTAGAATAAATTGGACAGATCTGTCAAACATGACAGTTTCGCTGTCAACAGGACTGGTGTTATGTCACTAATAAAAATGCTGAATTAAATAAGTTTGCTCTCCATAGAATTAAATATAAAATTACATTTTTACACTATGCAGAATGTATTCTTTTAATAGCCAATATAAAATGGATTATTTTTTACTAATTACATTTTGGTATTGGAAATAACAAATGAGTCTCACGTTATATGAAAGTTAATATATTGTCATTCTTCAAACAACTAGGAAAATTTTTTCAGTCCACTAAACATAACTTATAAAAGTAGGCTTCCAATAACAAATCTTTTGTCCTTGAATAATGAATGTCAGCCAGTGTAAGGACTAATAGGGAACCTTCTTATTGAACCAGTCTGAGTCATGATATGGATGTTTATTCCAATAATACACCATAAATAGATAAAGAAGAATAGAACATAACAATATGTATAAAACAAAGTTAAAGAAACTAAGCAGACTAATTTTATTTTTCTGATACATGTGTATTAAAAAGTAAATTTAAATAGCAAACAAAAATATATGTCATTTCATGACAATTAAATAAATAAGACATGGCTATTCTAAAGTTTTGTTTTGCTTTTTAATGAAAGTAGTACCAGTGTAATCACAATGATATAACAACCTCCAATATATAACTATTTCATTTCATAACATTAATAAAGTAATTCAAGATTTAAAAAATAAAAACTTTACCTTGTTGGGGGCTTTGGGTGGCGGTGATGAAGTGAAACTTGAATCCAGCGCTGAATAACTGGATATAAAAAAGAAAACAAGTTCTTAATACAAGCAATATCAAACAAACAATATATTTTATTAACATAATGGTATGCCAGCAATATTTAACACTCTAAATGATTCACTACTGGATGAAAATTAAATAGTAATAGATGAGTAACGATACCTTTCCGTCCTAGGTTTAAAATTCCATTCTGAATTCACGCTATGGGCTAAATTCAACTGTCGTTCTGAAACAAGAGCCCATATAAATTAAACTATGTCATGATTTATATAAGGCTATTATTAAAACAAACATAAAAGTACCATTTTCGTTATGATCAAGTAAAGGGGCATCAATTTGTCTCTGAAGCTGTCTTGTTTCATGTGTAATAGATCTCACTCTGTTCAAAAGCTCTTCATAACTTGATACTGGTAACGTCATAACTTAAAACCCATGCACAATTCTTAAAGAATAATTTTAAACAATTTCAAAGAAAGCAGAAGTTATAGCTATCTGTCATAAGACATGATCTGTCAATAAGAAGTTAAAAACAATGATAAAATATACAAATTATTACACACAAGCCTTAAGATACACTAAAATCGTTACATAAACATCTAACACTTGATATATAAAACGCGACGAACATGAAGGCAATTATCCCCTCACTGTGTATACTATTTACTTCAAGCGAGGTTCATTGCAGTAAGCAGTGTTGATCACTCCATTTGACAAAATAAAATTGTCAAGTTTCATAGTGTAAATTTGTAATAGTATCATTTACTTTAGTAATATGCTATGAAAATCCAAAATAAAAATATTTATTAGGCACGCAATAATTTTTTATTCAATTTGATTGTTAATATAAAGTTTTTATCAACAAGTTACACTGAAACAATGAACTTAAGGTTGGATAAATTAATGATTGAATATAGCTAAAATTTAAGGAGTATCAAGTTGTTTAAACAATTATTCGCTTTTATTTTAACTGAGTTTAAGATATTTCATCCTTAATATCGTCTTCAAGAAACATTGGAAAGTGGAGAGGGTGAGAGGAGGGGGGGGGGAAGAAGAGGGTTAGTGAAATGACATAATTTTAAATTTTATTTTTATTTTAAATAAATTTTAATTCATGGAAGGGTGGAGAGGGGTATAGAATACTATACATGAAATATTAGCCTAGTCATCAGTTTTTTATCTTTCATATAAATAATAATTACTAGTATGAAAGGTGGTGATAAATAGTCAGGACTCAATCATTTTTAAAGGTTTTTATTTAAACGCAAGTTTATTGCTATTATGGTTTATTGAATCTTTTCTTTGAATTGTTAAGCAAACAGTGGTTTGTAAAGATACACTAGACCTGTTCATAAAATACTGTGGGAGTATTAATAATAGATGAATTGTTATACATTCATAAAATAAATATATTTTATTTTTACTTTGCTTCCGCTACTTTCTATTCCTAATTTTTTTATTGCTATTTTATATTATCTTTACTTATATATCTTACTTTCCTAATATATATTAATAACAAATGTATTCTAGTTATTTGTTATTAGACTATAACTTTTACCTACATATTATTTTTTATTGTTTAGTAGTTTCTCATATCTATTAGTATCTTGGCTTTTCTTAGCCCTGACCATTGGGCTGAAACATCAGAAAAATAAAAATAAATTATGTATGTTCATTTTTACTTTGTTACATATGACTGAACATCCCAAACCAACTCCTCTTCAATATATTATAATCATTATTTAATAATAATAAACTATTGAATGTGATACAATTGTTATAGTCTGAAAGAGTGGCAGTATTCAGGAAGTCTCTATATTTGTTTATATTTCATTGAGAGTAATTTTATTTGTTTAAAGGACTGGTATTTTAATTAGTATATTGTCATAACCTATAAAATTAAATAATACCAGCACTAGTATTTATGAAAAGTGCAAATTTATATGTTTACAGTATCATTAGAGCCTGCATGTTCCTTATCTACGACATATCATATCATATTAAGTATGTTAGGTGTGAGGAACACTACACAAACCTTCAGGCCAAGCACAAGTATCTTTGCCACATTACCACCCCTTACTTCTCCTTTAGTTAGTTATCAAATTCTTCCATTGTTTACATTTAACCATTTTTTTTAATGCTGGTTACAATGTGAAATGCTTAAGTATTTATTTAAACTCCATTTCTTCACTTCAGCTTCCTAAATGTGTTTTCGGGCATGTTAAGTGTAGCCATAATTCGTATAAGTGTGTTAGACTGTCCATGTAAGTTATTGTGAAATCGCTTGTAGTGGGTCCATATGTGATCGTTAACTGTTGGCATTTGAAGGTCTTCATGTAAAGTAATGTTTGTGACATTCTATGGAGTTTACGTACATTATTTGAAACAAACGTACTTATGAAGAATTTTTGGCATTTAAGCCATGTTAGACAATACCAATGAGAATAATACTGTGCTAATATTAAATAAAATTATTTTTACATTGATATATTACATTTAATTAAAATCGTTGTGTTCATTTTAAGCAAAATTGTAAAGTCAATGATACAAAGTGACACTTCCAGTTAATTAATTGTAGCAAAAAAAGTTGTTATTATATTCCAGACATATGTCCACCTTAAAAAGGTGGTAAAGAAGGAAGCATTAGCTGACATTTATCGATGCCCTTGTGATGGGCATTATTACCTTTACTCACCACTTTAGCCTTTAGCCATTTAGGACACATTGCCCAGAAATGTATTGAAGCAAGGAGACTTCTTAGTTAAAAGTAATTAAAAGGAAAAGGAATTTTTGATTTATTTAGTATCAGTCTAGTTATAATTGCTGTTATATATTTTATGGAAAGAAGGAACAATCATTTATGGTTAAAATTAATTAACATGATTATAGACACTAGCTGATCCAGGGTGAGGGGTTGGCCTCCTCCCCCCCTGGAAGCTGGAAAAAAATTCCAAAAAGCAGCTATTTGAAGAAAAGAGAAATATAGAGAAAATTTATCCTCATAGACGATGAATATCCTGTTGTAATATAAAAAAATTTATTATCGTGATCAGCACTAGCTAATTCTGCCAGGGGTTGCGCTCTTCCATGGAGTGGGGAAAAATTCAGAAAAAGTGAGAAAACACCTATTTAAAGAAAAGATAAATATAGGAAATATCATCCTCTAAGACAAATTTTCTAATGTGATCAATACCATCATCCTCAGCTCGAAAATCCATTACTGGATCTTGGCTGCCTCCATGTTTCCCTGTCCTGAGCAGCCTCCACCAGTTCCTGATTGCATGGATTCTGGCATCAGCACTTTTCTTTTTCCCTCTGGCTCCATGCTCAGCACCTTCTTTGGGATTGAGGTCTCATTCATCCGTACAACTTGGCCCTTCGATCTCAGCCTTCCTATCCGGATATATTTCACCACATTCGGCTCCTTGTATAGGTTAGCTAGTTCTTGGTTGCATCTAATTCTCCATTCACCATTCTCCTTAACTGGACCAAATATCCTCCGAAAGACCTTCCTTTCGAAAACTAATATTTTAAGCATCGGTTTAATGAAAAGAAGAATATAGGAAAAATTCATCCTCATAAACGAATTCTCTAATGTAATATATATAAAATAAAATATTATTGTGACTAGCACTAGCGAATTCTGCAAGGAGGATACCCTTCCCCTGGATGGTGAACAAAAAAAATCCGAAAAGTAGCTATTCAAAAAGTGATGTAGTTTTTGGGATGTCGTGAGAAGCGAAGGCTCATGCGGTTGTGCTCCAGTCGCAGTTTGTTCCTATTGACTCTGAACTGAAATATATCTCGCAGGTGAAATACATGATGGAAGAAAATTTATTTAAAAAAATATGAACTTCAATTATTCCTTCAAACAACTTTTTATTCGAGCACAAGAAAATACGGGTTTTCTCCCGGATCCAGTATTTATTCAGTTCCAATAGATCTGGCTGCATTACAAACTCGAGCAACTATAGTCTCCTTAAAGAATCCATGCGATTCATAATACTAGTCACGATAATTATTTGTACATTCCTCATTAAAAAGTGTTGTTCTTTTCTTAAAATAGCTCGTGTTGGGAACGTTTTCATGAGGCAAGATACTCATTATTTGGTCTCCGATTTGATCGGAATTAGAAATTATTCTGAGTTTTTGTTCTTAGAGAACTCATTCCCAAGCTGCAGGGCCATTTATTGTAATTTTTCTCAGATTTCAACAATGTCGGTAAAAATTAGCGTTCATATTATTACTAATATGAATGGTAATCAAATTACATGAAAAAAAAAAATAAAACAACATAAATATAGAGTTTTTGGCTGTAAAAAGTTTTCTCTTGGTGACCCGTGTCAGCAATTCAGTTTTATCCATGTCTAAAGCCATATACATGGTGTCTCATAAATAGAGGGAAATATTTAAAGGAGTGATAGCTGAACTCAATTAATACAAAAAAGTTTATATAAACAATGGTTCGATTTTCAGCAGAAAAGTAGGGATTTAAAGTTTTCTGATTTTTTTAAGTAAGCCACGTTTTTTGTTGAATAGGAAATGATAACAAAAACTATTTAATTTAAGTAATTAACGATCGCTTCACTGTATTCTAGTCAAAATTTACTTTAAATAAAAATAGAGTTTGCTTTTGTTAAAACCATTTAAAGAGCAGCTAAACTCAGATAAGAAGTGGGGGGAGATGCGTAGTAGTGGGGAATGGATAGTGGTGGGGGAAGCACATGGTACTGAGGGGCGCCTCCCTCTGAGAAAATTCCTCGGCCAGCCACTGATTATATATACTTATTTTTTGTTTTTCTTTTCCACTGTTATTTTTTTTACTTTAAGTAGAAGTATTATAAAAAATATATGAGTTATATGTGGCAAAACTACTCATTGCTGTATGTTGAAGAGCTTAAAAGCAATAAAAATTATCTATCAATCTATTTAGGATATCGTTCCTAACTTTAGTACAATTGATAGAAAGAACAAGAGATAGTTTGAAAATAGAATTCATCACTGAGCACACGTCAAGTGGACTAGATTCTGCCTTGACTCATATGAGTTCAATATAGTTATAGGGTTAAGCTCGGCTGTTTACTCACATACATATATAGACCACTTTGGGAAACTTGGCTTCAAAATGTGTATTTCCTAAGGAAACTAAGATTCGAAAATTTTCATGATTGCAATCTCCCCATTAATATATATTTCATAATAAGTAGTGAAAGTAAAAACTATTTGATGATACCATGATTGTGTAATAAATTTATTTTTGATATTACAGTTGGAAAATTAGAAAAAATATTTGCAAAAATAGCTTCCTAATTTACTGATATAATTAACAGACAAACAGAAATAATTAACTATTAAAGGATTTTTTTTTTCCAAATAAATACATATTGAAATACAAAACCAGAATCAGAACGTGAAGTAAAATGTATGTAATTATTGCATACATGTACATAAATATTTGTTATTTATATTATATGTACAAATACTACACATTCATGCTTTACATACATATATCACAAATAACAAATCAATAATTTTTTTCTCTCAAATATTGAGGTAACATTATAAATCAAATGTTAACTATGAAAATTATGGTAAATAAAAAGAATGAAAAAATAAAAGTACAAAAACAGTCTGGATGGATTGACT